ATATCATCTGGCAAATCATCCCTCTCACTTGCTAAAAAGTTAGGCCTGGACAAAAAAGTATACAGTTAGTTAGAGTAGGGTCTGCACTGTATGGTGGAAAAGTTAAACTTACCAGCTCAACTGGACAATTTTTCCCAGTCTTTTTTGCCACATAGGGTCAAAAACGCACCCTTTTTGAGCACACGTGAGTAGCAGATGAGCACATTTATTAGAATTTCTTGTGCAATCAACTTCGTTAAAGCGTTTGTGCATCATCGATCAGTCACTGCTAAGGTGTCCTACCATTTCAGCACAAGACTGGTGCAGCCCCGTCTCGACTGATTTAACTAGGGCCACCTTTTTGACGACGATTGCGGGCATCACTTCAAAGACTTCACTGTCTTTTGAGAAAACTGTGAAAAACCGATGAGCATTTTAAATGGTAGTATTCCCTCCAACAAATGCAATGTTGGTTTGGTGGGCGGAAGTTGTAGCTCTCAGCAAGAATTTTGAAGCATTTGGTACACACATGCGAATTTGCACACTGGACCCAGGAATTTTCAAAAAAAAGTATAAAAATTGGGGGAAAGTTAAATTGTGAACCAACAATAGAAAACAATAAGCAACATATTTCGCAGTATTAATGAGCAAAAAGGACTTCTTGATTTTCCATAGTAATCGGCCCCAAAACTTCCTGAACTCAGAAAAGCGACACTAAGATATCCGGTACCTAATATATATGCGAGAGTGGTGCTATCGTACGGTAAAGGAGGTGCAGCGAAAGGTTCTCATAGAAAAAGTATTTAGGAACATTATGGAGTGTAATTTCAAGGGTACAGATACCATTTGTTAGATGCCTCTATTCGGCAGTTTAAGCACATATACGATCTACAGTATGGACATTCTTCACATTTTTCTCAGTCATCCTTTCTTTAATTAGTTATAGTTATGCATTTCTTATTGAACAGGCATATAGATGTGACTATGGCTACAATTACTTCTGATCCAGTCGCACTGTTTCCAAAACCCTGTGAAAACCCACAGTATTGTTGAAAACGGAAATCGGAATACGGGAGCTCTCTCACGATCAGCTCGCTCTGGCAGGTCGCGTGCTCCCACTGATCGTGAGCATCCCACTTCCATGTTAGGAGGACCTCTTGCATCGGATTTCTGTCATTTCTTGTCTACAGTTGTCAGTCTACGTGTTTCGAATACGGTACAAAGGTATAACTATTAATGAAAAATTATTGCGATCGATAAATGAGTTTTGATGACAGCACGGAGATAGACGCATATATTTTGATGCTACACTGACGCTATGC